GAAGAGGAAGAAGAGGAAGAAAGAGGAGGAGGCTCAGGATTACCAAGGAGCCCACTTCAGTGAAGTCACCTTCTGTCTCCTGCACACCCGCACATCCCTGAGAACTGTGGCTGTGAGAGTCAGGAGCAGACAGAAGGCAGGTGAAGTCACTAGGCTAACTCCTGGTTGGCAGTCCATCCAGGAGTGTCCTGGCCTTCACTGTCAATGCAGTTTTGCTGCATGATATTTTATTTTGTGAATGGTTGAGATGGCTTCCTGGCTACCTGCATGTAGACACAAATGCCAGGCCTCACTGGCAGGTTGACCAGGCCTGCTGTGCTCTGTGGTAACTTTGCGAACCTCGATGATTAAAGCTTCTCTTCCTGCTACCTGCTTTCACTGTGAGATGGAAACAGTTACTTCACAAGCCTGACTGTCAGGTAAGAAAAGGAAATCTAAAGGGCAAGTTTCTTCCCTTTGTTTTTCCTTTTCAACTTGGGTCCTGTAACTTCATGTTTTGGATTATTCTATATGTCAGTTTCCGTATCGATTTAGTGTGCACTGAAGGGTTTTACTCTGGCATCTGCCAACCTAGAGGGACCTGTGAATAAATACAGTAGCTGCGTAAACCCAGGTGGAAAGAAATCCCCATCTAGCATCAGCACAATGTGTCATGTTAAAATAAGGAAGAATGGCATATTTGCATAAGGCCTGGCCAAATAGCTCAGTGGATTAAAGCACCTTCAACCAGTGCCAGGGGCTGGGGATTTAGTCCCTGGGCCTGCTGTGCCAGCCCCACCCCCCAGGGCACACTGAGACAGCAATTGAGACTGGGCATGGTGGCACGCACCCATAATCCCAACTCTTGGGCAGCTGTAAACAGGTGGACCACTATGAGTCCAGTGTAGTAGTGAGAACCTGAACACCCTGTAGACCATTCCCTAAAATACAAAAATAAAAAACTTTCAAAAAGTAAAAAAATAACAAAGAAGAAAAGAATGATTCATAGCGCTTGTCAGATTAATACATCTTAAAACTTTCACCGGCACTCGTCC